AAATCACAAAGTTAACTTTAACTTGACCCTATTAGGGCCCTTAAAGAGGTAAATAAGTTAAAATGAGGTCTTTAGGTTGGGTCCCAATCCAGTTTTGACTTGCACCTTTACAGGAGAAAATTGAGACAGAGGCAAGCTCATATATACACAGGACCATATGACAAGAGGGAGAAGACAGCCATCTCCAAGCCCAGGAGAAAGGCCTGAGAAGAAGTCAACCCTGCAGCAATCTTAATCTTGGATTTTAACCTCCAAAACAAAAAACAAATTTATATTGTGTAAGCCACACAGTTTGTGGTACTTTGCTAACTATGGCAGCCCTAGCCGACTAAGACAGCTTCATTTAAAGATGGAGGACAAAGCTCTTTGGGGAAAAGTATCGTTTTCGATACTTTCCTGTCACACAGAGGTGAACAGAGAAAGGGAACGTATTAAACAGGGAATTTCTTTAAAAGACTCTTATGAAAATAAAACACATTTCCAACTTTAAGACACATTTCTATACCATGAGCACAAAATAAAAACCAAACATACATACCTTATACAAGGTTGCAACTCCCAGGGATACAACGAACGCTCCAACAATATGAAATCGCAGACGCTTGGCCAAAAGGCCTCGCATCTGAGGTTTCGTCAAAGCACCGGAAGTCATGGTAGTTATTACCTTTGACAGCTAAATAGTAATAAAAAGAAAACTCGCATAAGACACCTAAAGAATTCTGCACATCTTAGTACCTAGAGGGAAGGATAGAGGACCGACTCCTCCCCCAAAGCCTAAGGTGTTTACTGGCTCAGCCGGCTGCACCCTGTTTTCCCTCTGACTACCCTAAATAAGCAAGACAACTGCAGCACAACAGTAACCGGGGATCAAAAACGACAAAAAAATCTCTTGCAATTACAGGGAAGGTTAACAGTGGCTCTAGACTGACAATCACATTTCTAAGTATTTACAAACTTCCCACCAACTCATTTAATCGTCCAGAGGACCCTGTGAGACAGTTACTATTTCCATTTAATTATGAGAAAACGAGGTTAGGGAACTACTCCAAGGTCACGCGGTCAACGACTAACACTGGGTCGGCACCCAGGAGCTGCCTGCAGGGCCCACCTAGTGACCGGAGCGCGTCCGTCTCATCCCCGGGCCGACCTTGAGCGAGCGCGGCCGGGGCCAGGCCGGAAAGGCGGTGGGCGCGCGGAGGGGGCTGCCTGAAGCCCACCCTGCCCTCCTGCCACAGGCATGGTGACCCTCCTCTAGCTTCCCAACCCTAATCACGAACGCCAGCACACAGCGGACGCAGACCGAGGGCCCACACTGTTCCTTAGACCTCAAGTCCGGCCGAGGGAGAAACCACCCTCCCTGCAAGCGAACACACCGGGACCAGGCAGGTCAAATGACGTAACCAAGGTCACACAGAATGAGGGTAAAACGCAGCGGGGACCGAGCCCGGCGGTTCCTCCTGGCCCCGCAGCCCACCCAGCCTACGTGAGGCCCCTGCCACCTGCCCACCTGCCCGCCTGCCCGCAGAGGCTGCGCTGGGGTCGACACGGGCGAGAGGTCCGAGGATTCCGACCGCAGAAATGCAAAATCAAGACCCAACTCTAAAGCACACCGAAGGAGGGTACACGCAGGAAAACCGAACAAGGGAAGGAAAAGCAACACGACTCACCTCAACAACGTCCTTCCAGACTGATGCAGAAATGGCTGGCGTTCCCGCAGTGCGCAGGCGCATAAATAGAGGGCGGGGCGAGGACCCGGCGACGGTTGCCGAAAGAGATCAAAATGCCTCTGGCGCACCTCCCGCTGTTCACAGCTGAAGTTAATCCCTGTGTTTAGTCTCTTCCCCGCGGGACTTTGGGTTTAGGGCTTGACCTTATGAGGCCGCTTCCTTAGTTATTTGGAGATACTGATCTTACTAATACACAGAATTAGGGAATTCAAAGATATGTAGTACGTGAATTTTTTAAATGTACCCTATAAATACAGTACAAATCATCCTGGGCATGGATCACCCCAACAATGTACACAAACCGACATTTTCATTATGACTACCCTTATGCGTCCAACCGCTTGCTTGTTTGGCTAAAGAGTGAACAAGACAGCCAAATTCTAGGAGCTCACAGCCCTGCAGATGAGACAGACATAAAGAGATTAATACCAATCCTAAACAGTGGTCCCTACCACACAGAGGTGACCCAGGCTGCTGCAGAAGCAATTACCTGCTTAGCAGAGCAGAGCAAGTTTTGATGGAAGTATTTGCGTGGGGTTTTAGTAGAAGACAAGTGTTTTAAAGGAAGGCATCTGCAAGTTTATGCAAAGTCGTGTGTAAAGGTAAGCCTCTTGTACCTTAGGGGTGTCTGGCTTGGTTTTTATTGAAACAACCTGGATTTGTATCGTGTTATTTAAGTCAACTCAGCAAGCAATGTGAAAGATTCCTAGGGACACAAAAGATACATGATACCGATTCAACCCATATTGATTGAGCAATTACTATGTACCAGACTCTGCTATTATAAATCATCGAGGAAGTGGTCCTTGTCAGTGAGTCTTTGTCTTCAACTTGTTAACAGAGATTCTGGGGCGTGAAACCTTTAGGTCACAAGGAAAAGGTGCTGATTGAAGGTCAGACTGGGTTTGTACCTCAGCAACATTTTTTTCAGGCTACTTATTGTTGAACCCAAGTTTACAAGCAATGCACAGTGAGGTCAAACGAACTGAAACATCAGATTTTAGAGCAGAGAAAGGCCAAGAAAACCACACCAAGGGCTTGCCATCAGATTCTGCCTGGGTGAACTTCTCTCTTCTTGAGGTCCTCAAAATACCAAGATTCCATCATCTGTCAGGGGGCAGCCTTTCTTATTCACCTGATAAGCTGCGTGGAACCCAAGAGTTTCCAAAGTCTGGAGAGATCAGGTTGAGAGAAAAGATAAATGTTTTAATTCTACTTACAAAAGTGTAATTTACCAAATTGCTAAGTCATAATTAGCTCGAAGGGAAGGGTTTCCTCATAGCTGGAAAACCCAGATCAAAACCAGTAATGTTCCAAACAAAACCATGAAAATTATAACCATATTCACCAGTTACTCAATAACCAAACCTTTTGTTAATAGTTTTATGAAGCCATCAGATTTTCCATTGGGATTTTTAAATTTCTTACCCAGTTCAGCATTATGATCTGAAATTCATCAGAAACTTGTATTTGTCAAAGAGTCCTTCCCATGAATTTTCTTAAAGATGAAGCACTTTAACAAAAGTACAACAATAACTGTCTACGAATAACAAGACTTTAAAAGACATTGTTAAACACCTTATTACAATGTAATTGACAAAGAAACTTGGTCACGGCTGTGACACACAACATTTTAAGATACTAACTAAAATAATGGCTGATAAGGTTTTAGCAGATAGGGCACGGGGTCCCTGGAGGAAAAGAACCAGACACAACTTTTTGACATACGAGAAGCCGGTTTAGACCTAAGCCATTTTGTGATCTAAGCCTGGCCACATTGCTTGCCCTTGAACAGATCTCAGTAATAATGATCTTAAAGGAAGACTGCAAGTTCTGTTTCAATGGTAGAGACCAGCCTGAAAAACTTTCTTGAGCTGTTTTGCAGAATGTAAGGTAACCCTCCTTGGGCATTCAACTGGAACCCAAGGGATGATGGCCTTTTCTGACCCTCGTGACTTCAGTCACCTAAAGCTGGGACTCTGTCGACCTTTGCCCCGATTCTATGCTGAATTCTCCTCTGCTGTAGCCCCTTCATGAACATGCATATACCCTTAGCTTAAAACTTTGGCTGTTCAGGAAGACACTGAAAGATCTTTGGGAAAGATCGCAGGTGGTCTCCTTACTTGCTGCAAGCAATAAATCCTTTCTTCTCCCTGTCTTTGGCTTGGTTGTGTCTTCTGGCTGACACCAAGAGGCAAACCTAATTTTCAGGTAACAATAACATTATATACCAGGACATGTCCAAATTTGAGAAATTCATATAATTTCTAGAATGTCTATATTAATAAAATTTACCCGTACAGTATAACCTGAGAAGGTTTAATCACTCATTTCACAATGCTTCCCATGTAATTCAACACACCAAATAATCCTAGTTAATTTACCCTCTCTGAGATGCTGCAGGTTTCCAGAGTGAGCTGTAGATGGAAAAAACTTCAATTAGAATTTGATATTTGGGCAGTTTGTCAAAAATATCAAAAAGGTTTCAAAACACTTGGTCACACAGGATCACAGGTCAGTGTGAATGCTATTCACGTAATTAAAGCAACAATAAAAGATTTTTAAAGCAAATACAGATCACTTACACACAAAGAAACAATCTTATCAAAAGCAGCATTCTGAGAAAAGTTTGTTCTCTTAACATAGTGAGAAACCAAATCCAGCCCTACACCAGCCTAGTCTTAAAAACAAAATCAGTTTACCTAGTTACATTTAATCTGTCAACTGAAATAAAATGCACAACCTGTAAATTGAGAGTTATATTTTATTTGGCGGACTTTCTGAGGATTCAAACCCAGGAAGCAGCCTCTCAGATCACTCTAAGAGACTGATCCAAATTGGCAGGGGAGGAGCCAGGATAGATGAGTTCTGCCACAAAGAACAGGTAGTCAGAACATCAAAAAATTACTGTTAATTAAAGAAAATCAGACATCTCGAGTTCAGGAATTTAGCACTTTTCTATGTATGGGGAGATGCAAAGGTCTGAGCTCACTGAAATCATTCCTTTGATATGCACCTAGCTCTCCAGGGCCAGTCTCCTGCTCTTCCACAACCTGAGTTCCCTCAGGGTGCACTGTTGGGGATGGCTGCAGAGGCAGGTAGTAGCATACGACTTGATGGCCATAGCATCCTTTGTTTACTGCTATGGCTGACTATTTTTCATTCACAAATCTTCACAAATCCAGCCTGAGCAAATCCTGACCATGTACAAAACTTTTCTCGGCATTCCTTTTCTACAAGCCCACAACTTTTTGTATCCATTTTATTTTGGCCCTTGTTTTCTTTTCCCTTCAGAAACAAACAGCTCCAGGACAAAACTACCCTTTTTCCCTTTAACAAAATGCCATTTTTGCCGTAACAAAATTTCCATTCCTCCTACCTCCTTTTACTAAAAACACACACCCTACTCTCCTGGCATACTGAAATGTTTCCCCTATTATTTTAGTAGCTTTATATTTTAATTTTAACCCATAAAATTTAACCTTAAGTCCCTAGCAAAAACTGAGAAGCAAGTAATTGTAAACTGTCATACCAGCATTTCCTGCCTTAGTTTTTTTCTTGTAAGAAGCAAAGGTAGGTAAACTCAGACCCACTTAGCATTTTATCTTCTTTGAAATAACCTGGATTTTCAATAAATTCCTATCATTTAATTGAATTTAGCAAAACTAAAATTTCAAGTTATCAAAATCTGCAGAGACTGTTTTAGAAAGACATTTCCAAAACATAATTATTCCAAAAGAGTTTACCTAAGACCTCTTATCTCATTTACATTGAATTTACTTATAATTTTCATCAAACTGTTGACTGAAAAAAAGATGCACAACCTAAAAGTTGAGAATTAATTACATTTTCTTCAGCAGACTTACTGAGGTCTTCAGTGTAGGATACAGTCTCTCTCAGTTATCTCTGAGAGACTGTCCAGAGATAAGGGAGGAGTCAGAATATACAGGACTTTTTGCAAAAAACAAAAACAAAAACAGTTGAACATCAAAAGATTACTGTTAATTTAAGAAAAATCAGACAACTCAAGTTAATAAATTTAGGACTTTTCTCTGTGTGAGAAGATGCAAGAATCCAGACTTAATGAAGTTATTTCTTTGATGTGCACCTTAACTATCTAGGACCAGTATCCTGTTTTCCTCCATCCTGGATACCCTCAGGGTACACCTTGTGGAGGGGAGAGGGCAGCTGCAGTGGCTGATGGCTTGATGGCCACAACATCCCTTGCGTACTGATATGGCAGGCAGCATTCTTTGTCCACAGTATCATGTTACTTTCTTTGCTGACACATTGCAACAGATTATTTGACTTCCAATAAACCTAGTAAAATAAAAGTATACTTCTTAATACTGATGACCTTAAAGACATGTCTATATTAATCAAACCAACAAGCTTAAGCTATACCAGATTAAATACCAGATATTAATTTAATATTGAATATTTCCCAGATCATGTCAACCTGAAATTCATTCTGGCCAGTTTGTTTTATATTTCTGAGAATTTATATGAGTGCTTAATTCTTTTAAGCCGATTAAACAGAGCTTATCCACAAACCAATCTTGGCAATGCCATTTGGAGGCAGAGACATATCACACTTATACTGTACACATGTACATACATCTATATAGACACAGCCAGAGGTCTCACAGTTTTCCTGCTTCAGTTTAAAAAGACCTCTTTTTTTCTTTAGTCTCGGTGATCACAGATGATTAAAGTTCCCAAGAGCCCAGGTAGATCATTTACAATAATACATATCACTCATCACATTCACATGCTTCACTCATTTCCAGATGGACTTGAATCAGCATTCAAGTTACTAAGACCCCCTAATGAAGGTCAAAAGCAGAGAGAGAGAACAGAATTCGGACTCCTATACTAAGACACTCATGCACACACCCAAGATAAAAGCCAAACCAATTCCAAAAAGCTCACTTTAATATAGTAACATAAAAGCCTATACATAAGGAATCTCATCCCATTTTCCCTCCCTTTTACAAAACAGTTCTAGCAGTTGAAAGGTGATGTTATAATTTAGAGAGCCACAAGGAGCCATTGTTCTCCTATGGAGTACTGAGGCCTAGCAGGGTTACAATAC